GAGTGGTGCACAGGTCTGCACCCAGGATCCAAACCTGCAAACCCTGGACCGCCAAAGTGGAGTGTGCAAACTTAACCACTATGCCATTGGGCCAGCCCCCCCCCCTTAAGTCTTTTTTATTCTGTAGGTCCTGCTTCTCTCTCATTTTCCTTGCAATGAAATTGTTGAAGAAACCAAGTTGTTGGTCCTGTGGCGTTCCCTACATTCTAGATTTTACTCATTGCATTCCTGGAGTAGTATTTACTATCTTTCTCATTCCCCCATATTTCCTGTAAACTGGTAGTTAGATTTAGAAGCTCAAACAACTCACTTTAAATCACAAGCCCTTTATGTGTTGGGGACTATGTGGTAAGGTGAATGTGATTTTCACACATAAAAGCATATAATGGGCCTCATTTGATACCGTCATAAAGGAGCATGAGATACGAGATACATTTCTCTCCTTTCTGACTTCCCTGACTTTCTCATTTGAAAAAATTAACCTAAGTAACAAATCTGGAAATGCCATTACCCCTGACTAACGGAGTTTTTCTTGAAATTCTTATTTATTTTTAATTTAAAATGAAAATGTAAAGCTATTAAAGGCATTTGAAGAGCTAATGCCATTACTTTCATACCTTTATTGTATATTCCATTCTAGTCTTTGTCAATATGCATGTTTACATTTACACAGTTGTAATCATGGTTAGCATAATACTTTGTAGTCTGCTTTTATTTTATAAACACGTTGTTACATAGTCCTCACAGTTAGAGTCCTAATGACAGCATATTATTCCATCAAGTAAATGTACCTTATTTAACTGTTCTCCTATTACAGAGCATTTACTCTCTTTCTGCATTTTTACATTAGAGCTAATGCTGTAGTAGCCATCTTTATTCATGTTACTGTTTACTTGGTTTAAGTTAAATTCTGAGGATATAAATTCTTGGAAACGGGATTATTGAGTCCAAGGGTATGAATATCTTTATGTCTACTATGTATTTGCTTTCCGAAAGGGAAATTATAGAGCTCTTCATTTGCTAGAACTTCTCCCAATTCAGCCCCAACCCTGCTGATCATCTCTAGTTCCCACTACCACAGGGCACTTCTTTTGCGTATGGGAAAAGGTATTTAAGTACTGGGATGGATGGAAGCATCTTTAGTCTTACTGTATTAGATGAAAAGTTAAAAACTGCTTAGTATTTTGTTTTTGTGTGTGAAAAAGAAGAATCTTCCAAAAGAATTTATTTTTAAAAATGAAAAACTAAAATTGGGCTTAGATTTGCACTGTCCTTTATGGAAGCCACTAGCCACATGTTGCTGTTGAGTACTTAAAATGTGACTAGTCCAAGTTGAGATGTGCTCAAGTGTCAAATACACGTCAGATTTCAAAGGCTTAGTACAGAAAAAAAGAATCTGAAATATCTCATTAACATTTTTTATGTTGATTATAGGTTAAAATAATATTTTGGATGCCAATATTGAGTTAAATAAAATGTATTATTAAAATTAATTTCACCTTTTTCTTTTTACCTTTTTTAATGTGACTGCCTCAGAATTTAAAGTTACACATGTGGCTTGCATTTCATTTCTAGCCCTGGCCTAGACAATCTTGGGGCAGGTAGCTTCTGGAAAGGGGGAGGCTGTAACTAAGGGTCATCTTGGGAAAGAGAAGTGACCAGTGACTCAGGACAATATAATAAAATTCATAATCACCCTGCCTGTAAAATGAGCTGATCAGACAAAGGTGATTTTGTAGTTCGGATAACCTGGGGCTGAAGTCAGAGGGGATTTCATTAGTAAGGGTAAGTAATGAGTTGCCACGTTTTCCTGATGTTCAGATTTCAAGATGGTGATGAATGTCTATACCATGCTCTCTTTCTCTTCTTGTTCTGTTCAGGTTCTATGCCCGGGACTCTGGTCTGCTCAAGTTTGAGATCCAGGCAGGCTTACTAGGCCGCCCCATCAACCACACAGTGCGACGCCTTGTTGCCTTCACCTTTCACCCTTTTGAGCCTTTTGCTATTTCCGTGCAGAGGACTAATGCTGAGTATGTTGTCAACTTCCATATGCGACACTGCTGCACGTAGGTGCCTCACCAAAGCCAGGTTATCTGGTCTTCCAAGACTTTGCCTTCTTCTTATCTCTGGACTGTAAAGCAAAAGCTCCTGACTACCAGCTTTGTTGGTTCCAGACTGGTAAACCTCAGATGGGAGAGCCGGAGAGAGGAGCGAGGGTGGCTCAGCTAATGGAATTTTTTATTGTATACAAGAAAACTACTGATTGACTTAAAGTCCTCTTGCCTTTTCCTGTGGGAATGCCCAGGATTAATAAGTCCATTTAATTTTTGTTTTATTTTGCATTTTATTGCTATGAAGATGAGAGCATTACACCTTTACCCCCCTCATGTCCCTTCTTTGGCATTATGGTATGCAACCTGAAGCAGGTAAATCTTGTTTACTCATGAGATCTGTGTATATCCTTCCCGCTTAGCCAACAAGCAGGGCTATCTTTATAAGAAAAAACAATAAAGCCTTGGTATTTTCTTACTTAAATATGTCCTGTTTGATGACTGCCTTATGTTCTGATCTCAACCAAGTACATGGGTTCCAGGGAGGACTATGAAAGGGACTAGAGGCCATGGATCCAGCAGATGCTCTTGGGAGAACTGAGTGGTGTGTGCCAGCATGGAAGACAGTTATCTGCCAGGATTGTTTCCTTCCCTTGGGTTTTCTCCTGGTAATTGTTACAGCTGGAGGAACTGGGCATAATTGCACATTCTCATGTGGAAGCATGCTCCCATCTGTACCATCTGTGTTGTGCGGGAGGAAGAGTGAGCAGTTCTCTTTGGCCATAGCAGAAACAAACACCGTGTAGCATGTACTGTAATTTGGGTAGTGGGAGTTGGCAAGCTCCAGGTGTCCCTGAAGAGATCAGACTGGTTGTTCCTGGATGGCTGAGCCATCACAGCTCTCCTGCAAGTACCTGCCGGCCCCCAGCCAGCATTCCTCTCTCACATCAGCTAGTCCCCTCCAGAGGGCTTGTCAGGCTGTTTATGTTTCATCTTCATAATGTACCCGCCATTTATGTAGTAAGCACGTTTAGTAACATCTGACTTCCAAGCTAGCTTTGAAATGTTGGGTTTCAGAGCAGGCTGTGAAAGGAGCCATGGATGCTAACAGCTGAATCCTGTATCCCTCTACCATCCAGACTGACTTCCTTTGAGAACATAAGAAATGTGGTATGAGATGCCAAGCCCCACCAAAAACAGTTCAGCTAATTTTATCATCTTCAATATTGGACAGCTAAGTTTATTCTCATTCAACACAGGATTTGAGCACCTGCTATGAGTCAAGTAGATGCTGTGCCACGATGTTAAGGATGAGGAAAGAAGTAAGCAAATAAAGAGAATTATAATGCAAAATGGTAAGAGTTCCAAAATTATAAGTCTGGAAACAGTGGAGAGGGATGCAGGAAAAGCAGAGAAGGAAAGCTATACCGGGGAAGGGACAGTGGAACTGGATCAATGGGAGTGTGTTATGTGAACCAGGGCGGAGGGCTTTTCGAGGAGAGACTCAGCATTTGCAAGGGCATAGAAGTATGTAAAGGGCTGTCGAGGTTTGAAGTGGCAATCTAATATGGCTACAGCACAAGCTGGCGGCGGTGGGGGGTGGGCAGAGAACAGTGACTGAATCATGAAGAGAAGTCTTGGGCGTGGTGCTAGGGTTTTATGCACGAAAGGCATAATAGAATCTCACAAAGATAACTTGCAGCAGTCTGAAAGATGAGAGAGAGGGAGGCCAGACAAGTTGGTGGTGGGAATCCACAGGAGAATGGGAGGACTTGAACGACATCTGGGCGTCTGGATGGATGAAACACTCTAGACTCTGTAGGCCATGACAAAATCAAGGTCCCAAAGCAGTCACATGTTTGTGGGGCCGAGCGAACCTTTCTTTATAGAAGCACTTTACCTGCAGCTTTTTCTTTGTATCGGGTTGCTTGATTGTGCCTGAGTACTTGGGAGAGTGGAACAAGCATGGAGTGTGAAGTGGCTTGAGCCTCAGTGTGAATCCTGGCCCTTTGGCTCCTTAGCTGTGTGGCCATGGGCCGATTTCCTAGCCTTTCTGAGGCTAATACACACTTCCCTCCACCTTAGTCATACATTCCCTTAGTTATATCTTTGGTCTTTTCATCACCTCTAACCACCACCAACAAAGTCTTAATTTCATACACTCCCCTCTGACCTGCCTCTTATAGCCCTTCACCTTACTCACTTTACTACCTCCACAGACGATCTTTGACCTCAGTGAAGCCTCCAATCCCCTGACCCAACCTGGACCAGTTAGGGTAAGTTAAACTGCTTTAACTAAAACACCCCACAATGCAATGGCTCAACCCAGATACGAGTTTTTCTCTCTCAGGTGACAGCACAGGACAGATGTTCCTAGTCAATGAGTGGTTCTGCCGTACACAGCCATTCAGGGACCCAAGTCCCTTTCATCTTGATCCCCTGTGGCATTGTGCTGGATTGAGCATGGGGAGAGGGTGAAATGGTGTGGAGGAGGCTCTGCCTGGTCTTAACGCCCCTGTCCATTAGGGGCACACGTCACTGCCGCTCGAGTTGGAGAGATCGCAATCACATGGCCACATATAACAAACGAGAGAGCCCGGGAAATGTAGTGTGACTGACCAGCCAGGTGCCAGGTCCTCTTGTGGTCACGTGGAGGGGAAATGAGTTTTGGTGGACAGCTAGCTGTCGCCTCCCCTCGGGTCCTCTCCTCTTTCCCTATTCAGCCCAGGTTGTGTAGTCTATCACTGTGGTCACTGCCTTGCAATCGCCCTTAATTCCTTGTTTCTCCTCCTCCTTCATGCTAATTTAGAAAAACCTCAACTCTGTACATGTCTGAGTCTGAATAGCTGGAAATTGCCACAGAAAAACCATGTCTGTTCTTGAATTCATGACCACAAGCCTAAAATGAGCGCTCAAGACTGCTGAGCAATCCTCATATACTTTCCTTGTCTGTTTACTTTCCCACTCCCTGAAATTGCTGTTTTATACCTTCACCTCTCTTCAAAACCCCTCCTCCCATTTCTCACGGATCACCTTGCCACCTGCTTCATGGCAGAAATAGAAACAATCAGGTGGGAATTCCCTTCTCGTTCCTTTACCATATCAACCACGTGACTTGCACCTGTGCTCATTCTCTGCCTTTCCTCCTGAATGAAATATCTCTGCTTCTATGAAAGGCCAACTTCTCCACCTGTTCACTGAATCCTATCTCCTTTTGACTTCTCAAGGTCTTTGCTTCTTCGATTATTTTCTCTCCTGCATCATCTTTCTCTTGATAGGCCATTCCTGTTGGCATATAGATAAGCTCTACGATCTTCCTTCTTTAAAAACTGCTTTGGCCCCATATTCTCCTTTAGTTACTGCCCGTTTCTCTGCTAACCTTCACAGAAAAACTTCTTGAAAGTGTTGTCTAAATTAAATTTTTCACTTCCCCAAATCCCATTTTTCCTCAACCTACTTCCATATAGGTTTCTGTCCCCATCACTCCACTGAAACTGCAGTTGTCTAGGTCGCCAGTGATTTCATGTTGCCAATACAGTGCTCACCTCTTGTCCGTCTCTTACTCAGCCTCCCAACGTTAGACATAATTCATTTCTCTCTATTTCAAGAAACACTTGCTTCTCTTGATTTCCAGGACAGTACATGTTTCTGGTTTTCTTCCTGCCTTACTGATTGTTGCTTCTTGGTTCCCTTTGCTGGCTTCTCCTCCTCTGCTCTCCCTTTAGATGTTGGAGTGCCCCAGCCTTCAGCCTTGGATCCTTACCTCTTTTTCTCTATATATTCTTTCTTTAGTTGATTTCATCCATTCCCATAGTTTTAAATCCTAGCCATATGCTGATGTCTCTCAAAGTTCTAACTCCAGCCCCGACCACTTCCTTGAGCTCCAAATTCAAATATCCCATGGCTTACACGGCGTCTTTGTTTGGATATCTCATAGGCATTTCAAAACTAGCACGTTCAAAACAATGCTCCTGATTCCCACCCCCACCTCCAACCTGTTTTTCCTCCAAGATTTCCCATATGGCTTCAGTGTCTACCTGTTTACTTGAACCAAAAACTTAGGAATTATTTTCACTTTCTCTTTTTTCTATCCCCCTTCTTTCCTTCCACCATCCACATACCTGACTTCACTCGAAGGATGTGTCCTGAGCAATCAATCGTGATAGTTGTATACTCCTTGCTTATAACTAGAGCTAGAACTAGATCAAAACTGTCAGCATAAGGGATTAATTTAGGAGTATCTTGTGACTTAATTCAGGTCAATAATACCATAAGGTAAAGGTTTCTGGGACTTCTGGGGGGAACAATTCTCTTTGAAGATGTCGGTCAGGAAACATGTAGCTCACATTTCCACTATCCAGCACCTTACGATCATACTCAAAAAGAATCAACCTTAGGATGAAGCTGATCTGGATGGCAGAATGAAGAGGAAAGAAACAGGACTGTAGATGATGTAGTTGGTTAACTAGATCACACAACCCTGAAACCCACCGTACACCTGGATTCCAGTTCTGTGAGACAATAACTTTCCTGACTATTTAAGCCACTTTGAATTGGATTGTTTCTTGTAGTTGAAAGCAAATTAATAGATGCAAAGAGAAAGGCAGGTCCCCTGTGGAGAGTCACGAAATTCCTGATGGCTGGGTGCCTTCTTAGATTCAGTTCCAGCTTCCATGAGACCCTAGGATTCCTGTTCTTGGATTCCTATTCTTGGATTTCTGTAAGATTCCTCAGTCTCCTATAGCCCCCTGCAGCCACACCTGAGCTGGCCTGGCAGTTTCTTTTAACTAAGGATGTAACTAAAATGGGAAATAAAGCACTCAGCCCATTGAGTACTTGACCCATATTAAGTTGTCAACTCCGATGTGTTTGTTTATATTAACTTTGTTTCTAAAAGATGTAAGGCTGCTTTCAGTAAATCTAGTGTCTTCTCTCCACAAATGTCCATGAATCTTAAGAATCTTTGGAGAAACAAGTTCTTTGGAGCCAAAATGTTTAAGAAAAACAGATACTTCAGGAGATGTATCTTTCAGATCTGAATTCTTCCCTGAAGCTCTCTCCTCTCATCCCTGCTCTGCAGGAAGCTGACATGTCAGTGATCTGGGGGAAGCTGCTCTGGATCTTTGGGGAGAAAGCTTCCATTTCAATTTAGCAAAACCCTTTCATTCAGAGTCCTTGCGGAGAAGCACAGTATAAATCAGTGTAAAGCCTAAATTAGATAATTTTTAAAAGAACAGTATCTTCATTATTTTCAAGTACACAGAGTAACTCCATCTTAGCTGTGAAGTGTTCTTTTGTAGAAGCCCTTCGGGACTTTCCTTAATGAGTAGATTATAATTATTGGTAATCAGCATAACAGTTCTCTGCAATGCGTGCTTTGAAAGCAATTGAGCATATTAAGTGATTTTGATGTTCCGGGGGCAATTTTGTTTACAACATTAATCTGCTCAGAGTATACCCTTTATAGCTATAACCCTCTGTTGTTT